GGAAACCCTAAGCAGGGTTGCTTTCCGAGTCGGGTCTGTGTATTTTACTCTGGCACGGATGGACCACATGGCCTGTCTAGCCACCCCCTTCTCGAAGGGCGCTTGGGCTGTTTCCCTTTGAGGAGAGTGGAGAAGAACAGCTGGGCGTGGGCAGGATTCATGCTGCGTCAGAAGGCTACAGGCATGGTGGAGGCTGCTGTCAAAGTGGGTCCCAGTGGTGGGAGGAGAGCAACAGGGACACATCGCCTTCTTGGGGCCACAGTTGTTCTGATCGGAGAGGGGGTTCCCCACCCTCAGTGTTTGGGGCACCTGTGCCCTGTGACCCAGCCCCCAGTGCTAGCAATGCCAAGGTACCCACTGCGGCTCCTTCTCCTCGAAGCTCCCTACCCCCTGACGTGCAGCCTCAGTCTTCCCTGCATCTGGGCCAAGAGCTCCTGGAGGAAAAGCAACTGTCGACCGGCCACCTGCTCGGGGTTTCTTCCACCTAGGTAGATCGGTCCCCAATCGACCTGCTGCTGACTAATTCCAGGGAGCCCTGAGAGGTGCCCCATCCAGTCTGCCCCAGGGAATGTTGCTGTAGTGAAGCGTGAGGGAATTGGGATGATGATAACTGAGCAAAGCCGCACCTTAGCGGGTGACTGTCCCCACTGGGAGCCTCTGCTGGGGTGGAAGTCCGGCACGTGGACTGTGGTGAGCTGATCCCAAAACGGCTGCAGGCTGACGCTGCTGGGCCCGGGCACTAGCTGAGCCAAGAGAGAGGTAAGAGTCCAGGTGAAGGCTCGGCTTACTTCCGGGCCAACCTCCGGCTCTGCGAGGTGAGCTGAGATCTTGTCTCCAGTGGCTGCATGGCGGTGGGCGGTGGGCGGTGGGATGCTGGTGCGATGGCTTCAGAGTCAAGCATCACTTCCCAGAGGAGAAACTGCCTCGGTCCAGCTTCGGTGGGGTCACCCCGGACAGGCAGGTTGGCCGGCCTGACGGCAGCAAGCTGAAATGGTCCCGGTGGTAGCCGTTTTCTCTGTCCTCTGGGGAAGCATGGTCCTGGGCTCGGGGGTGCGGTGGGGTGGGGGGGTGAGAAGCAGTGGTACAGATACGACGACAGTGGTCGCAACTTCACGAGCCACTGGGAGATGAGAAAGGTGGCAGGCTTGGAGAAAGGTGTGTGTGTGTGTG